CAAGGAGGCGCCCTATTCAAAACTTGAAATATCCCTACAAAGGTCAAATTTCTTGCAATCAAGTTTCCCAACGAAAGACCACTTTCAACTCTAGATTTAAAAACCAACTCCTAATTAATCAACTGATCACTCTTTCTCTCGCCACATCTTTCTAAAAAAAATCCCTCTTTATCTTTTCAATCTTTTTAGCAACCTTACATGGCATATCAAAAAGAGAAATATAGCAAATGGGGATAGCCAATACAAACTCGACCAGATGTTAGCTTTGCTCCTTTCAAAACAAAGAATATTTTCCACTCACCCAACCTTTTCACATGTTTTCAAGTAGTAGATCTCAAAAGACCAAGGACCAACTGGAATACCACCCAAAGGTAGACTTAAGTAATTTAGAGGCCCTTCAACCACAACACATCTCAATCTCACAACTAGCATAGTAATACTCCAAGATGAAATTTTTTTTTATGGGAACCAAAACTCTAGTACTAATAAAAAGGTGTTACAAAGATTATGCAAAAGAGATCCAACCAAAAACCAAAAGAAAAACACCAAAACGCCATACAATACAAAAACTCAAATGACCTATCCACAAACTACTACCCAATCTTAATAAATACAAAAGAAGGGTGTGGCTGCAAGGCTGATTAGTCATTAGTCAACAAGATTCATAATGATGAAAAATATTAATGCTACTCAACCCTCTTGCACAAAATTACTACAGCTTGTTTGTTTCCCAGGTTTGGGCTGGTTTGGAAGGGGGGTTTAAGAAAAATAGTTTAATAGACAACTTAATTTCATGTTTAGTTAGGACTTTTAGACTCAAGATTCATATCCCGGCCCGCAATAAATAGTGCATTAATAGCCAAGTATGGGAGTTTGATGAAACTTGTGGAGGTGGGTTTCAGAAATGACCGATTGGATTTGAAGATTAAAAAAACTATTTTACCCAAAATGTATTCTTCTATTCACCTAATAATTGACATTTTAGTAAATTGACTAATATGATTTAACATGAATATATGGACCCCACATATATTTATGTCACCTACCAAACATAGGATTAGATTGAGTTTATTATTGAATCCCATGTAGAAATCCCTTGGGTTGGGTTTCCTAAAACCAATCATATCCCCCCCATNTTTGGAAGGGGGGTTTAAGAAAAATAGTTTAATAGACAACTTAATTTCATGTTTAGTAAGGACTTTTAGACTCAAGATTCATATCCCGGCCCGCAATGAATAGTGCATTAATAGCCAAGTATGGGAGTTTGATGAAACTTGTGGAGGTGGGTTTCAGAAATGACCGATTGGATTTGAAGATTAAAAAAACTATTTTACCCAAAATGTATTCTTCTATTCACCTAATAATTGACATTTTAGTAAATTGACTAATATGATTTAACATGAATATATGGACCCCACATATATTTATGTCACCTACCAAACATAGGATTAGATTGAGTTTATTATTGAATCCCATGTAGAAATCCCTTGGGTTGGGTTTCCTAAAACCAATCATATCCCCCCCATGTGGATCATCCAAACATTCCCCAGAGTCTTCCTTGCATAAAAAATGTTCCTATTTCTTTCCTTCAAAATTACCCAAAAAACCTTCATAACCATACAACCCTAAGCACATCAACTTTCTTAATCACGAGGTATCGTCCAATCCAAAATTATCTCCCCAACTAAATAATATACAATTTTAATGCTAGCGAAAAATAAAGAAATTATCATCGCTCTCATCATAACTCCCACGCACAACACACCAATCTAGAAAAAGATAAGCATTTTGCCTTTATCTTTGGATCAAATCAGAGATATTACACTTCCATGAACAACATTGCACGCAAACACTTGCACCTTAATATACACTATACTCCTACGCAGCGAAAATGGTTCAAAACTGAGACCAAATGATCATCACTTGTGGCTAAAAGACTTGCAAGAAAAATTACCTAGGAATAAGAAATCGAAAGTCTTTCTGCACAAGCCCGAACATTAAAAGACAAGGTCTTTAGCAAAGACAAAAGAAAGGAAAGTTCCACAAATTCCCTACCATTCAAGTTTTGTGGAGAATTAAAATTCCATCCCACCCCAGCCCCCCACCCCCCAGGAAAGGATAACAAAAAGCCACACTAGAAACAAAAACATTATGATCCCAAGTCAGATGACAAAGACGAGGGAACATACACTCAAACATAAGACCGCCCTTTTCAAATATCCTTAGAAATTCGAATTTTTCCCCATCCCCACAATCAATCTAAGACGTCTAGAGAAACAATCAAAACCTAACAAACAAATTTCAAATTCATAGGATCAAACATTGTTTCAAAATCAATCTAAAAGTAATCTCCTCCTTCCTTTCAATCTATAACCCCTTTACTGCTTCATTTGCCAGCAAAGTCGAATCTATGTTTGCCTACCCTTCATGAAAGTGTCCAAATATCTAGTTGTAGTATAATCAAAGACCTCACTCAGTGTCCATACCGAAAATCTTATAATGACAACAAGCTAATTAATTAAGTCATACCAAACCAATATCTTCATCACTAATCCTCCTACAGCTCCCTCCATCACTATATAATTGCCCCAAATTGGAATTTCCAAAGTTCTCGAACTCCCTCTCTTCCTCACAATTCCCAACCCGTGATTCTTACCTTTCCTTCTAGTAGGAACTAAGGATAAATCCATATTTTTCAAGAATTTTGTATAATTATCTACTTATCATCATCAGATATAAAGTTCCTTTCTTCTACTTCAATAATCTCATCACTATCTCTCCAATTTTCAGAAGTTATACCATCCTTTTAATCTTCAATGTATGCAGTAACCTCAACTGGCATAGCTAATGACTACCTATGAAACAAATTAACAGAGGCCTATTCCCGAATTGAAAATATCCCTCTTACTCATCCTCCCAAAACCATACCAAAGTATGACTCCCTTGGTAATGAATGCAAAAAATTAAAGGGCAAAGTGGAGGTGCAAAAGTGTACATTAGCCAAAGACTCATTGACAAGACCTATCTCTTAATTAGCTTTAGAGGAAATAACAACAGGTTCATCATCAAGCNATGAATGCAAAAAATTAAAGGGCAAAGTGGAGGTGCAAAAGTGTACATTAGCCAAAGGCTCATTGACAAGACCTATCTCTTAATTAGCTTTAGAGGAAATAACAACAGGTTCATCATCAAGCATTTTATTCCCCATATGATCCTCATCATTAGGTTTTGCAAACAATTCATATTTCGTAATCACTCTGAACTACTTTAGACTTTGTCTATAAAACATCATCATCACCTTCAAAACTTTCCATTAAGCTATTTTCAGAATCTTCACACCCATCAGAGCCAAATTTAATATTGGTAGTGTTATAATGACACTCATCTACCTTTCACAATCTTTGCAACGGCGTAAACCCATCCATAAATGCATTTAAGCTTCGAAAACCTCAATTCGATCCATAATTACTTTGATCTCATCAACCTCTTACCAACAACTAATCGCATCCTCAATCATCTCCCACTTTTCTCAGACAAGGTCGCAGTCAAACAATCCCTTAACACAAACGCATGTCAAGCCTCTCGAGTCACTCTCCAACAATTGCATCCCCGGTGGTCATCTTTAATTCTCCCAAAGAAATATCCCTAAACCCATTGAACGAACGAAGAATTCTTTTATCAAATATCTAGGCTTCTTTTAAAAGGATTGCGTCATGAGCTTTGTCTAAGACAACCTTGAGACTTCACGTCACAACCTTTTCGAGCCAATAGTCTAAAACAAAAACCAAGCCTAATATCACTCTTGCATTTTCCTCATAACCCTTACAGAGTTCAAACCACCCTCCTGGCCCAACCCATCTATAACCTACTACTAGAACTCACCTCAATTAATGCATTCTTACATTAATCCCTAAGTTGAAGTTGCATTTTCCTCATAACCCTTACAGAGTTCAAACCACCCTCCTAGCCCAACCCATCTATAACCTACTACTACAACTCACCTCAATTAATGCATTCTTACAATAATCCCTAAGTTGAAGTTTGAAGACTACTTAATACCACCATTATCTCGAGTATTTTCACAGAAACACCATATCCAATTGATTAATTTTTCTGCATATCCCCAAAAATGTCCATTTTGATTTCTAATCTACTCGATCTATATGATGAAAGAATTTCCTCTAGATTTTCCAAAGAAAGGTCTATTGTCTAGTTTTGTAGCTTTCTTCATATATTCCCCAAGACAACCCGCACAACAAACATCCACCATAATAGATAAGCTCTCTCACCAACATCACTCTAGAATGGCACTACCACAAATATCGTCATCCAAATAAGCCAAAAAGACCTTATGTCCATTTTTCACCTCCACTAACATGCATATGTAACAAATCTCTCCATAGCACAGTACAAGACTCATGAAGGCACATAATATTAGACATGAAACACAACATCTACATGGACCGATAATTATTGTCACAAACTAAGGATCAGAATTTTATTTCGGGGGCACTGTTTTGGTAAGCTCGAAAACGGAAACCAATCAGAAATATTTCAAAAATAGAGAAGAAACTGAGAAGAAATTGGACTTCTGATTCTGAAACATTAGTTGTCAGATGTCCATTGATCAAAACTGAAATCCAAGAAACCAGTGGAATGGCAGCAGTTAATTCCAAGAAATTGTGAGAAGAAAAAATGCGTAAAGAAGCACAAAAATCCACATATAATCCCTCTTCAATTGTTTTACAAAAGCACTGGTCAAAGTACAAAATGTTCTAAATAGCCATAAAAACAATTTTCAAAGAGCAAGAAGGATACCTGTCCCCCGGATGCCAATAAAGCCCCAAACTCTAACACTTTGTTAAGATCAAAGCTGTTACAATTAAGAATGATAGAAATTATTGCATAAAATAATGTGAACATATTTCTGTTTCACAAATGCTTGTGTACAAGGAGACTCAAATTGTTTTCTGAAAAAATTGTACACAATACATACTCGCTCACAAAGAATAACTGTCTCCTAAAAATGAGACAAAACCAATTCCAGGAGCAAGAAATAACCTTCTAAATGAATCGCCTAGTACATCTTTAGGGTGACAGTCAGGCCATGCCACCACATCCTCTATAGCACTAGAAATCCCAGCTTCAGACATCTTTGTCTTAACATAAGTACAGAGTTCGGTCAGAGATGTATGCTTAACATTCTCAGCAATAGCTCCAACGGCATGAGCCGCAGCCACTCTTGTATCCCAGTTCTTACTACGGAGATACTGAGAAACCTAAATTCAATATGTACAAGGGTCAAGAAAACACTTAAAAAGACAGATTAAATCGAAATTACAAGCTAACTGAACCAGTATTAAGCATAAGAGAAGAAACAAAGCTTCACCTAGGAGCACAACAAATAACGAAAACAACAGGTGCTCTAAAAACAGCAGAGCTCATGGTTAGTTATTTATGTAGGATGAAAATTAGGATGCAACCATTCACCAAAGTATAGTCAAAAACATAGAACAACAATCTATATATATATATATACTAATATAAAATGTCAACATCCATGAAAACTTTTGAATCTCTAATTTACCCTTAAACAAATACCTAAAGACAAGAGTATTCCTAACTGTACTAATGGTATTTATTAGCATTACTTATTTAATCATTAAATCCCAATTCCAAACATGATTTCTTGTCTTAGTAAATTACTCATGAGTTCTTGCATTCTAGTATTCCACAACGTGTGTAACATACAACAAAATTAAACAGACCTTTATGCTCTCATTTGTTACCATTAGAAAGAAAACCTTGATGTTTTGAGGTGATGCCAAAGGCCTTTTTGTTTTTAACTCTAATTTCTGCATTGTTCCAATTATCATTTAAGCAGAAGTAGGATAGGCAATTGCCAAATTAGACTATATCAACACAAAGGGTCTACACTATTTGATTGTTAAGGATACAAAGGGTTTTATTTATGGAGTTTATTGTCTCAGCTATCGGGGAGGCATGCCAATCTTTAAAGGATACGAATTCTTCTTCCTGTAACTTGTTCACAGAGACATTCATGTTTCGGCCCATTGCTCCAGTAACTTACAGTGGGTAAATTCTTCATAACTGTCATAGACATTGTGGATATGCTACCACTAATAATATCCTATAGAAAGGGAAACTAACTAAATATTTGTAGTGGGCACGACCTTCCAATTTACTGTTGAAGATTTGAGGTTTGCCAATAGAAGTATACCGTCCACTTTTTGTTGTAGCCAAAAGATTGATTAAGAAATAATGGTTTTGATTTGTGGTATTCTTGTAAAGAGTCCTTTGTTTCCTCACTTGAATTTGAGTCACATGAATTTTCTTTTTATGTTTTACTAATTGGCGATTCTAGAGTTGGCCAACCATGTCATATTATGAGATCTGCTGTAAGCCATTAGAATACTACTCATTTTTTTGGTTGAGAAATAGTGTACCACTCGCCAGGTGTTCATTGACACAAAGGTGAGTTTTTCCCCATGCTCAAGTACAATCAATTAATTATTGCAAAAAATTTAGCTTTTTACGAATATTATGTCGTTGAAAAGTGCTTAGTTATAGTAGCAGACTATTTAGTTCAGTTTCTTTGTTCTCTCAAGGAATTTTTGCACAGCTAATTGCTATAAATTGATATGGCAAGTATTGAAATTAGAAAATACATGCTTTCGGTGTAACCATTTTGGACATAGAGTTCAAACTTCAGAGTCAAAGCACAAGGTGACCTTTGCTTATGGGATTATCACCCTAAAGACTTTACTATGTGGCAAAATTAAAAATGTAATGAGTTACAGTACGTCAGTACCCATAATACTTTGTTTGAAGAAAGATTTTAATTTTATGTGGAAATAGAAATTTTCAATAATTACTGTGATGTTTAGTGAATATGCAGAATTTATGAATTTTTGACAATATTCTTATGATACGTTTAATATATCTGGTTGATTTTCAATTAACTGAGTTTCTTCAGTTTTATCTATTTGGGTTGTGTTAGTTGTGATGAATGTCCACAAATGTTGCAGTGACAAAGTATGCTAATAGGATTTTGGCTTTGTCTGATTCCGGCAATTTATCAATTTAGATCTCTTGATTTCGTTTTCAAGAATATTTTTCAATTTGATTTACTAAAGAATCTGGGAATGTCAGTTCACTTTACCTATTTGTAAAATGGCTATTTCTAATGTGTATTGTAGCCTAAAAACAAGAATGAAATTAACATCAAAGGAATATCATAAATAGACAAACCCACTAACCATGGTGAACTAGTAATCCTAAGTTCCTAACCATACATCATAATGCTGCAATAAAGTTAAAGTGAATTCATTTTTAGCTTTAGCTGTTTGAAGAATTAAGCATATGAGAAACTCTTTAGACTAGGTAATTTTAAAATGTTGGGAATTCTCATATGGAACTTTTATTCCTATAAGGAATTGATTTGTTGGGAATGGAACTTGGATTGTGAAGTGGGAGAAATTTGTTCAGTAATACTCGAGAGTATACACACAGTCAAAAGTTCCAACATTAATTAATTAAACTATAGAAAAAATATAAAAATTAAAAACCAATATTACAACACGAATTCATCCATGTGCAACACACATGTGCAATAACTAGTTAACACAAATAGCAGCTCACAACCAAAAGTTCCTTAGCTCACCCAAATTGCAGGACAAGGCAACCAGAAAATATAACTCAAACCAATGAAAAAACTGTATTCCAACAAGATTCTCAAGGTATCAAATAAATTTTCACATAAAATCACTAGGGCAATTTGTTCAACTGCTCAGATCAGTTGCTATACTTCCCTAATTGCAGTTTCCACCAGACCTGCATTTCTCTTGCTATTGGCATTCGATCAGTCAAACAGGTGCTAAATGAAGAGTCCAAATCAGTAACAACTGACTTCAAACAACGTGAACCATGACACAACCCCAGGCTTTGCAGCGACACGATTAAAACCAGTGGACAGAAAAATGTATTTGTTATAATGCATTTGTTACTGGTGATTTGGTTCCATACACATTAGAAGTACAATCGGGTCAAAACTAATAAGGACGATCTTTTAGGAGAGGGATGTGGTTGTCATTTTACTGAATATGGATAAAGTGATCAATACTATGAAATTGTGCATAATTCTGATATAAGGACTATCAAGTCCAATAATGGTCTAATTGTTTTTGATCTCATACTAATTAGTATGCTGCATAGAAACTGAATTTACTTCTTTTTTTTTTCCAAAATATGCGATATGTGATGGAAACACAATTCCAAATCATCTCATGTCAATAGTATAGATTCAGACTCGTGCCGATCTTCAACCCAACCCTCATTCCTTCCTGACCCCATAGAAAATGCAATCTTGAGAGAGGAGCAACAGTCGGCCTGAACGGTATCAAATATAGAAGTGATTCCCTCGGCTCAGGAATAGGAACCTCTGAACAGCTCCTGTGAGAGTCCTAAACTTAAGAAACAAATAAAAGGCAAAAGGGTCTAGAAAGCTTTAGGACAACAAATAAACTTTTAAAGAGGGGAGAAGAGAGAGAGAGAGAGAGTATGATATCTTTCCTAAAACGAACTCTAAAGTGGATGCCAGATAGTAATTTTTGTCACAAAAATAAAAGAAATTACAAAACATCAAAGAAAAGGAGGACAAGATGTCCTTCAAAATGTGACCCAAACCAAAAGTCAGAAAGCACACCAAGCTAAAACCTACCTCAACAAGAATATCCCCCAAACTACTACTACGGCTGACAAAGTCGTAGACCTAGGATTTGTAGTCACCAAACAATAAATAAATACATTGGCCACTGTGAAATCATGAATGCACTCATCCTATGCCAATAAATCACACTCAACGCCTCACTCTCCTGCTAACCACATATGTCTGGTAAGTAACAAGGGTTAGCCTGTTGATCATCAAAAGAAGGGCAGGTTCCAGCTTTCCTAATGGATTTATTATTCCCAGCAACACTCCCCAAACACTGGAGATGAGCAGAACTCATTGTAAACCTCCTCAATTGGAGCATTTCAAAGGGTTAGCATCTTAGTGCAATTCTAATTACCAAATAGCCTTTAACATAAATTTAAAAAAAAGAAGAAGAAGAAGGATTGTTGAAGCTGATGGAAACAAAGAAAAACTTGCAAAGGATTCACAACGAAAGAAAACAAACATCCAGCATCCCCTCAATGTTGTATGAATTCCCTCATACTATGCCAATAGGGACAATACATCAAACTCCCTCAATGCCTTACTATCTTGCTTACCTCACACGTCCGGTAATGGACCAGGAAAGACAAAGAAAAGAAATGATTGTGTTGTCCTTCTGATCGTCAAAATAAGGGCCAGTTCAGACTTCCCTAACGGATTTATTCTTCCCAGAAATACTGCACAAACACTCTGGGTGAGTGGATCACTTTGTAAAGAACCTCAATTTGGAGCATATCAGAAGTGTTAGCAACCCAGTGGGTCAATATCACAACCGAAATTTCCACGTGAGAGGCAATTCTAATTACCAAGTAGCCTTTAAAAGAAAAAAAGAAGGAAGAAGAAGGATTGTTAAAGCTGATGGAAACAAAGAAAAACTAGCACAATATTTACAATGAAAGGACACCAACATCCAGCATCCCCCAAAATATGAGGAAGGAAAACCTGTTAACAATATGTTCCGAGAGAGGAAATATTACCATGGAACAGTTGCTAAAATATTTGATGTGTTGTACCAAGAATAATTATAAAGACCAAAAATTGATCAAATGGTGTAAAACTGAGGAAGCACCATGCAAGGTTGGGAAGCCCCTATTTTATTCCAGAAAATGCGGGAGCCTTGTGCATTGATTATCGGGCGCAATTTAATATTGGCTGTTAGGTGGGAATGAGAATGGAAATGGGAATGGGAATGATCAATAACTGTTTAGGGTTTGGTTGATAAATGGTTCGGGATTTGGGAGGCAGAATTAAGCCGGGAACCCATGAACAGTAAAATTGGATTTCAGAGTTTCAAAAGGGTTGGGCTTTAAGTTTTTTGAAGGAAAGGGTTAGATCTGCTTATTAGGGTTTCATGGGATCAAATGAGAGTTTAAATATGTTGTTTGGAGGTATCAAGATGCCGAAAACTGAAAAAAAGAAGAGGAAAAAAAATAGGAATCACTGCTAGAATCCCTTAGACCCAATTCAAGTTATATCATAACAACACGAAAGAGCCTTCAAAAGCTCTGCAAATTTCTCTAAAACGGATCTTCATTCATTGTGAAAGATTACATGGGTTTATATAGGCTTCAAGAGATCTCCGGCTTAATAAGGATTACCACTTCAAGTTAAAAACAAAAAAGATGACTAATCTGACTCAACTTAACCAAATAATCTGACCCAAAAACATAATAAGAATCAAAATAAGTCCTATGAGTCACCAATACAACCTATTCCAGAAAATTTCAGAAATTATTGAAATGCCCCTCTCTCCAAAAATTAGTATAAAACTGAACCATAAAAAATAGGTCAAATATGAATTATGACTCAGACAATACTCAAGACTAGTTATGCAAAGAAAGGTTAGAAATGGGAATCCAAGTCCTGATGATTTTACGATGGGCTATCTACTGGAATAGTTGGGACAGTATCAAAGGTGATCTTATGTGTGTAGTGTGTATTCAATTAGTTTTTGCTAATGGGATTGTAGGAAGAAGTGTTAATTCTACCTTTATTACTTCGGTCCCCAAAAAAGATTGCTCAAGCAAGAAAATTTAAGTAACAAGGTTGTTTGAAAATGTCAATATGGAATGACTTCTTGTCAAATGATTTGAATTGTCTTCTTTAGCATCAATTTCTTTTCTAGATTCCAATTTAATTAAATCGTAATTCTATATAAAAGTAAGTTCCAATTGCTTCCGTTCTTAACTTGGAGATAATGTTTCACTCACAAATGTGATGGTTAATGGAGGTGGAATTCCCTCCTATTTAATCTTTTGGGTGCAAACTTCTATTCTATTGTGTTCCTCTCTCCAATTCCTCCTTTATCCCTCTTTGTCTCTCTATATATTTGAGGTCAGTAACTAAACATGCATGTATACAAATGAAAATTAATGCATTTCATTTCCAAAACAACCCCAAAACTAAACATGATAAAGAGGCAAAGACAAAGACTTCAAACAATTAGAGAAAACTTAAATATCAAATAATGAATACCTTACTTAGCAGAGAGTTTAAATCCTGAGGATGTGTTTTGGCAATGTCCCCAATCTGCCGAGCTGCTGTAAACCTTGTTGCTTGGGCTGAACCCGCTTAGATTTGGTTGAAGAAGCAAACTAATGTGTGTGCACACATGCATGCATACATACTGACATACACTGATAAATAATGATTAAAACAATGCCACATTAAGAGTGATGACATGTTTGTTTGAAAACTACACTCGAAGCCCTTATGTACCATACCTGTATGGAACAAAACAACAAAATACATAAAGGCTCTTCCTTTTCTTTTACCAAGGAATCATTGAGCGATGGAGTAGCCACCTATCACACATTGTAAGTGGCAACACCTTCCTTGAGGTTTCTTTGCCTAAAAATGTGATGGCTCTCCTCGAGGAGTGTTGGATGGTTGGGGCTATGAAGCACAGACACAAACATAAACAACAAACACAAAGACACAGATACAGCAACATGGAAAATTTAGAAAAAGTAAGACAAAAATGCATTTAGGACACACTATAAATAATCATCTTTGATATCAAATTGTATAATCCTTCACTATATAAAGATAGACTTGCAAGAACAAATCAGTACTATGGAAAAATGAATCATTCGTCTGGTACTCTAACAAAAATTTTTTGACCAATGATTTGGTCAAAGTAAAAGGTAAGAGTACGCGGTACAATATTTTCCCGATGCACAATGGATGGGTGTAGGCTTATGTGGTACCCTATTTTGGGTTATGGTTCGCTTTTTAACTCTCATCCGGACCACTTTCACTATCATATGAAATCATAAGTATACCAAATTCACCTAAAAATGGTTGATCTCATCAAAATCCAATCAATTCCCAATTCCCACAATCAGATTTATATAATGAGAGAAAAGGAACAGCCCCTGGGAAATAGATTTCAAAGGTTTTCGAACAGTCCTATAATCAAACACATGAGAAACCCAACCATCACCCTAACTAGGAGGCAAGCTTTTGAAATAATATATTATTGTGCTGAGTGTTGGTACGTCACTCGGAGCACGGGTAAAAATGTTTGGAGGTTGTGGATTAAAACCTGAGTTTGAATACGAGAGTAGCCAGCTATTGTAAATAATGCTTAAATTTTGCACCATTAGTTGGATATCAAACTGATTAATCTAACACTATTGTACCGAGTGGCAAGCAATGTGGGAAGAGTTGGCAACGGACCAAGATCATCATCCAGGCAGCCGCATTATAACATATAATAGATATAGAATTGAATATAGAAACATAAATAGAGACTACTGCAGCAATCAATTCCATGGCTAAGAGAAAAGGATACTGTCCAACAAAGTGAGCAAACGATGAAGACGAGACGATTGTTGCTGAGCCATAACGCTCTATCTGAATACAGCACAGATGCAACTCTTTGGTTTGCATTCGAACACCTCAATGTTTAAATGCATAGACTGTAGTTATTAGAACCACATCGAACCAGTAGAGGGACCGGGTCAATAATTCCCTGGTTCAACCATAATAAAACATAATAATTAAGTTAAAATAATATGATATTTATAATATACCAGTGAGTGTGTGGCATTGTGTGCCAGTGCATCTGTGTGTGTGTGTGTGTGCTCGCAAGAGAGAGGGGGAGAGAGAGAGAGGAGTGGGACTTACATACAAGTCTTACAGGAAAAGAAAAGAGATCGTGTGGTGTCTTTGTGACTGTGAGAAATAGAAAGTGACTGCGTGAGATTCGAGAGGACTAAGGTGCGAAACCAGACTTCTCTCGCAGTGGGGGCAACATACAATTTATAAATACATTTAAATTCTCTAATATCTACATTGCTTTCGCAAAACAACCAATCAATGATACTTTTAAGTACAATTTCACAAAAAAAATTGTCAATTATGGGTGCAATCCATATAGATTAGGGATGTACAAAAGAGCAAATAAAAAAAAAAATTCAGTACAAAGCTTTTTATTATCCTGTAAGATCCGGAAGATCTCCTAATTTAATTTACACCACAACTTTGCTTAGAATATATCCCCATCACTATCACCATTTTTTTGGGTAGGAGATGGTTGTTCAATGTTTATTTTTTTAAAAGAAATTTATCCATTGTAATTCAACAATTAATTTGCTCATTAGACAGAAAAACATTATTTATAAAAAATGTATTAAATTAAACAAAAATAGATCCAAAATTTTAATAAAAACAATTTAGAAAAATTAATTATATCACAAGTCTATTAAACCAAACTTACATATAGAAACAATTTAATCTAACACAATCAAATTATTCAAGCCCCATAAATCAAAATAATTTAATTCATGGTATAATCCATAATAAGAAACTTCTGAAATAGAAATCCAATTAAATATAACAAATTTTAAGCAATCAAGGTCCATTTTATTCAATATATTAAAATAGCACAGAATGTGCCAACAAATGAATGACCCATTTCGCATAAACTAACTCATGTCCTCCTCACCCTCTCATTACCAAAAATATGGATATAAAACCGATCCTATTGTTACTGCTCAGTTCAAATTCAATAATCAAAGCTCAATCATCAATTATTAGCAAAAAGAATTAAAGGAGTAAGAATAATAAAAACCTAAATTACTGCACCAAAAATTTGTATAATATCAAAGATATCAAAATGTAGTTTATGGGTACCTCTGGTAGGCCAACTTTGATAGAATCTTTTAAACTCTCATTTCCTTTGAAAAAATTCACTCAATCTACAAGACAAATTCCGACTGAAGTCGGGAACAAAAAGAGGAAGACCGAAATGAAGGAAGAGACGACAGAGGGAATGAAGAGAGAAAGAATAGTGAAGAGAAAAATCAGAATGAAATTTGTTTGAAGGAATCAGGAGGACGAAAGAGAAGAAGGTATCCTTCGCTGCCCATGAATCGTTGAGATGAAGAAAGTGGATCTTTCCAGAGGGCTAGATGGAAGAGTAAAGTAAAAGTGTTGTCTGAGGGGGAGGAGAGAGGGCCCATGAATCTCTCTCAGCGTCGCTGTGCTGTGTCTGTGTCTGTGTCTGTGTCTGTGTGTGTGAGAGAGAGAGAGAGAGATAGAGACAGAGGGGGGAGAGAAGACTTACAGAATGAGAAGGGAGAGGGATCAATGTGGCTGAGGACCATGAGAGGACCCACCTGCCTGCTGCCTGCTGCCTGCTGCCTGCTGCCTGCTGCCTGTGCATCTGCTGTATGGAGAAGGAGACTGGAGGGTGGAGAAGACGGTTGATTTAGGGCAAAAATGCCCCAAAATAAGGATTTTTATTTTTTATATAACTTGAAATTTTTGAACCGCCCGGTTTGAAAGACCTTCAGGTTCACCGGTTTTATTGAAAACCGGACGGTTTTGAGATTTTTATGCAATTTTGTTACAGAGGCGGTCCAATTGAAAAAAAACAGGTTTAATATCCGGTTCAAAGATTAAACCGGTTGGTCCGGTCTGATAACACTATAGACAACCACCCACCTTTGTTTTTTTTTTTTAAAAGGCTACAACCACCCACCTAACAAGTATAATTTGCAGATTTTTGTCAATGAGTCTACGCATAAGTTTTTTAACCCCTATTTGTATGTTTTAAACATTTTATATGACAAAAATGCCACTTTATAACAAAAAAAAATATAATTAGAAAAATATGCATCCATTGGAAAAAATTGAACCCCCATCTAGGCTCAAATTCTTACAATTTACAATTCCTCTAAAAATAGGACCTTACAAAATTTTAAACTTGCATATACAATTCATTACCATACCCTAAAAAGCTATCAAATTAGAGTCTTGTTCGAAATTCATAATAGTAAATGAATGAATCCCACAATCATAGACCTAAATAAACTAACCAAACAATAAATTTAGAAGGGGGTTCAAGCATTGGATCACTAAATTAGATTCTGACTCAATCAAAACATGCCTGAAAGACATCTAAGTTCAAGCAAAGACACACACCCATACACATACAAATTCTTTTTATTTATCAACATCAACCACAAATTCAAACAACTAACGTCAATTATATGAAAGAATCCGATGAATTCCATAAAAATAGTTACAAAAAATAAACAAAATGAAATATAAATTCAACCTACTACACCCACGACAACGCATACCAATCATACAACAGTACGATGCTGTGTGTGAGTACGTGAATTTGTGTTTTGGTGTGCATGTATGTGGGTGTATGGAGTTTGTATTTGTGTCCTTTGTGTGCATGTGTGTGATGTGTTGTGTACTATGTGTGTGTGTGTGTGTTGANTGTCATAGACATTGTGGATATGCTACCACTAATAATATCCTATAGAAAGGGAAACTACCTGCNTGTCATAGACATTGTGGATATGCTACCACTAATAATATCCTATAGAAAGGGAAACTAACTAAATATTTGTAGTGGGCACGACCTTCCAATTTACTGTTGAAGATTTGAGGTTTGCCAATAGAAGTATACCGTCCACTTTTTGTTGTAGCCAAAAGATTGATTAAGAAATAATGGTTTTGATTTGTGGTATTCTTGTAAAGAGTCCTTTGTTTCCTCACTTGAATTTGAGTCACATGAATTTTCTTTTTATGTTTTACTAATTGGCGATTCTAGAGTTGGCCAACCATGTCATATTATGAGATCTGCTGTAAGCCATTAGAATACTACTCATTTTTTTGGTTGAGAAATAGTGTACCACTCGCCAGGTGTTCATTGACACAAAGGTGAGTTTTTCCCCATGCTCAAGTACAATCAATTAATTATTGCAAAAAATTTAGCTTTTTACGAATATTATGTCGTTGAAAAGTGCTTAGTTATAGTAGCAGACTATTTAGTTCAGTTTCTTTGTTCTCTCAAGGAATTTTTGCACAGCTAATTGCTATAAATTGATATGGCAAGTATTGAAATTAGAAAATACATGCTTTCGGTGTAACCATTTTGGACATAGAGTTCAAACTTCAGAGTCAAAGCACAAGGTGACCTTTGCTTATGGGATTATCACCCTAAAGACTTTACTATGTGGCAAAATTAAAAATGTAATGAGTTACAGTACGTCAGTACCCATAATACTTTGTTTGAAGAAAGATTTTAATTTTATGTGGAAATAGAAATTTTCAATAATTACTGTGATGTTTAGTGAATATGCAGAATTTATGAATTTTTGACAATATTCTTATGATACGTTTAATATATCTGGTTGATTTTCAATTAACTGAGTTTCTTCAGTTTTATCTATTTGGGTTGTGTTAGTTGTGATGAATGTCCACAAATGTTGCAGTGACAAAGTATGCTAATAGGATTTTGGCTTTGTCTGATTCCGGCAATTTATCAATTTAGATCTCTTGATTTCGTTTTCAAGAATATTTTTCAATTTGATTTACTAAAGAATCTGGGAATGTCAGTTCACTTTACCTATTTGTAAAATGGCTATTTCTAATGTGTATTGTAGCCTAAAAACAAGAATGAAATTAACATCAAAGGAATATCATAAATAGACAAACCCACTAACCATGGTGAACTAGTAATCCTAAGTTCCTAACCATACATCATAATGCTGCAATAAAGTTAAAGTGAATTCATTTTTAGCTTTAGCTGTTTGAAGAATTAAGCATATGAGAAACTCTTTAGACTAGGTAATTTTAAAATGTTGGGAATTCTCATATGGAACTTTTATTCCTATAAGGAATTGATTTGTTGGGAATGGAACTTGGATTGTGAAGTGGGAGAAATTTGTTCAGTAATACTCGAGAGTATACACACAGTCAAAAGTTCCAACATTAATTAATTAAACTATAGAAAAAATATAAAAATTAAAAACCAATATTACAACACGAATTCATCCATGTGCAACACACATGTGCAATAACTAGTTAACACAAATAGCAGCTCACAACCAAAAGTTCCTTAGCTCACCCAAATTGCAGGACAAGGCAACCAGAAAATATAACTCAAACCAATGAAAAAACTGTATTCCAACAAGATTCTCAAGGTATCAAATAAATTTTCACATAAAATCACTAGGGCAATTTGTTCAACTGCTCAGATCAGTTGCTATACTTCCCTAATTGCAGTTTCCACCAGACCTGCATTTCTCTTGCTATTGGCATTCGATCAGTCAAACAGGTGCTAAATGAAGAGTCCAAATCAGTAACAACTGACTTCAAACAACGTGAACCATGACACAACCCCAGGCTTTGCAGTGACACGATTAAAACCGGTGGACAGAAAAATGTATTTGTTATAATGCATTTGTTACTGGTGATTTGGTTCCATACACATTAGAAGTACAATCGGGTCAAAACTAATAAGGACGATCTTTTAGGAGAGGGATGTGGTTGTCATTTTACTGAATATGGATAAAGTGATCAATACTATGAAATTGTGCATAATTCTGATATAAGGACTATCAAGTCCAATAATGGTCTAATTGTTTTTGATCTCATACTAATTAGTATGCTGCATAGAAACTGAATTTACTTCTTTTTTTTTTCCAAAATATGCGATATGTGATGGAAACACAATTCCAAATCATCTCATGTCAATAGTATAGATTCAGACTCGTGCCGATCTTCAACCCAACCCTCATTCCTTCCTGACCCCATAGAAAATGCAATCTTGAGAGAGGAGCAACAGTCGGCCTGAACGGTATCAAATATAGAAGTGATTCCCTTGGCTCAGGAATAGGAACCTCTGAACAGCTCCTGTGAGAGTCCTAAACTTAAGAAACAAATAAAAGGCAAAAGGGTCTAGAAAGCTTTAGGACAACAAATAAACTTTTAAAGAGGGGAGAAGAGAGAGAGAGAGAGAGAGAGAGAGAGAGTATGATATCTTTCCTAAAACGAACTCTAAAGTGGATGCCAGATAGTAATTTTTGTCACAAAAATAAAAGAAATTACAAAACATCAAAGAAAAGGAGGACAAGATGTCCTTCAAAATGTGACCCAAACCAAAAGTCAGAAAGCACACCAAGCTAAAACCTACCTCAACAAGAATATCCCCCAAACTACTACTACGGCTGACAAAGTCGTAGACCTAGGATTTGTAGTCACCAAACAATAAATAAATACATTGGCCACTGTGAAATCATGAATGCACTCATCCTATGCCAATAAATCACACTCAACGCCTCACTCTCCTGCTAACCACATATGTCTGGTAAGTAACAAGGGTTAGCCTGTTGATCATCAAAAGAAGGGCAGGTTCCAGCTTTCCTAATGGATTTATTATTCCCAGCAACACTCCCCAAACACTGGAGATGAGCAGAACTCATTGTAAACCTCCTCAATTGGAGCATTTCAAAGGGTTAGCATCTTAGTGCAATTCTAATTACCAAATAGCCTTTAACATAAATTTAAAAAAAAGAAGAAGAAGAAGGATTGTTGAAGCTGATGGAAACAAAGAAAAACTTGCAAAGGATTCACAACGAAAGAAAACAAACATCCAGCATCCCCTCAATGTTGTATGAATTCCCTCATACTATGCCAATAGGGACAATACATCAAACTCCCTCAATGCCTTACTATCTTGCTTACCTCACACGTCCGGTAATGGACCAGGAAAGACAAAGAAAAGAAATGATTGTGTTGTCCTTCTGATCGTCAAAATAAGGGCCAGTTCAGACTTCCCTAACGGATTTATTCTTCCCAGAAATACTGCACAAACACTCTGGGTGAGTGGATCACTTTGTAAAGAACCTCAATTTGGAGCATATCAGAAGTGTTAGCAACCCAGTGGGTCAATATCACAACCGAAATTTCCACGTGAGAGGCAATTCTAATTACCAAGTAGCCTTTAAAAGAAAAAAAGAAGGAAGAAGAAGGATTGTTAAAGCTGATGGAAACAAAGAAAAACTAGCACAATATTTACAATGAAAGGACACCAACATCCAGCATCCCCCAAAGTATGAGGAAGGAAAACCTGTTAACAATATGTTCCGAGAGAGGAAATATTACCATGGAACAGTTGCTAAAATATTTGATGTGTTGTACCAAGAATAATTATAAAGACCAAAAATTGATCAAATGGTGTAAAACTGAGGAAGCACCATGCAAGGTTGGGAAGCCCCTATTTTATTCCAGAAAATGCGGGAGCCTTGTGCATTGATTATCGGGCGCAATTTAATATTGGCTGTTAGGTGGGAATGAGAATGGAAATGGGAATGGGAATGATCAATAACTGTTTAGGGTTTGGTTGATAAATGGTTCGGGATTTGGGAGGCAGAATTAAGCCGGGAACCCATGAACAGTAAAATTGGATTTCAGAGTTTCAAAAGGGTTGGGCTTTAAGTTTTTTGAAGGAAAGGGTTAGATCTGCTTATTAGGGTTTCATGGGATCAAATGAGAGTTTAAATATGTTGTTTGGAGGTATCAAGATGCCGAAAACTGAAAAAAAGAAGAGGAAAAAAAATAGGAATCACTGCTAGAATCCCTTAGACCCAATTCAAGTTATATCATAACAACACGAAAGAGCCTTCAAAAGCTCTGCAAATTTCTCTAAAACGGATCTTCATTCATTGTGAAAGATTACATGGGTTTATATAGGCTTCAAGAGATCTCCGGCTTAATAAGGATTACCACTTCAAGTTAAAAACAAAAAAGATGACTAATCTGACTCAACTTAACCAAATAATCTGACCCAAAAACATAATAAGAATCAAAATAAGTCCTATGAGTCACCAATACAACCTATTCCAGAAAATTTCAGAAATTATTGAAATGCCCCTCTCTCCAAAAATTAGTATAAAACTGAACCATAAAAAATAGGTCAAATATGAATTATGACTCAGACAATACTCAAGACTAGTTATGCAAAGAAAGGTTAGAAATGGGAATCCAAGTCCTGATGATTTTACGATGGGCTATCTACTGGAATAGTTGGGACAGTATCAAAGGTGATCTTATGTGTGTAGTGTGTATTCAATTAGTTTTTGCTAATGGGATTGTAGGAAGAAGTGTTAATTCTACCTTTATTACTTCGGTCCCCAAAAAAGATTGCTCAAGCAAGAAAATTTAAGTAACAAGGTTGTTTGAAAATGTCAATATGGAATGACTTCTTGTCAAATGATTTGAATTGTCTTCTTTAGCATCAACTTCTTTTCTAGATTCCAATTTAATTAAATCGTAATTCTATATAAAAGTAAGTTCCAATTGCTTCCGTTCTTAACTTGGAGATAATGTTTCACTCACAAATGTGATGGTTAATGGAGGTGGAATTCCCTCCTATTTAATCTTTTGGGTGCAAACTTCTATTCTATTGTGTTCCTCTCTCCAATTCCTCCTTTATCCCTCTTTGTCTCTCTATATATTTGAGGTCAGTAACTAAACATGCATGTATACAAATGAAAATTAATGCATTTCATTTCCAAAACAACCCCAAAACTAAACATGATAAAGAGGCAAAGACAAAGACTTCAAACAATTAGAGAAAACTTAAATATCAAATAATGAATACCTTACTTAGCAGAGAGTTTAAATCCTGAGGATGTGTTTTGGCAATGTCCCCAATCTGCCGAGCTGCTGTAAACCTTGTTGCTTGGGCTGAACCCGCTTAGATTTGGTTGAAGAAGCAAACTAATGTGTGTGCACACATGCATGCATACATACTGACATACACTGATAAATAATGATTAAAACAATGCCACATTAAGAGTGATGACATGTTTGTTTGAAAACTACACTCGAAGCCCTTATGTACCATACCTGTATGGAACAAAACAACAAAATACATAAAGGCTCTTCCTTTTCTTTTACCAAGGAATCATTGAGCGATGGAGTAGCCACCTATCACACATTGTAAGTGGCAACACCTTCCTTGAGGTTTCTTTGCCTAAAAATGTGATGGCTCTCCTCGAGGAGTGTTGGATGGTTGGGGCTATGAAGCACAGACACAAACATAAACAACAAACACAAAGACACAGATACAGCAACATGGAAAATTTAGAAAAAGTAAGACAAAAATGCATTTAGGACACACTATAAATAATCATCTTTGATATCAAATTGTATAATCCTTCACTATATAAAGATAGACTTGCAAGAACAAATCAGTACTATGGAAAAATGAATCATTCGTCTGGTACTCTAACAAAAATTTTTTGACCAATGATTTGGTCAAAGTAAAAGGTAAGAGTACGCGGTACAATATTTTCCCGATGCACAATGGATGGGTGTAGGCTTATGTGGTACCCTATTTTGGGTTATGGTTCGCTTTTTAACTCTCATCCGGACCACTTTCACTATCATATGAAATCATAAGTATACCAAATTCACCTAAAAATGGTTGATCTCATCAAAATCCAATCAATTCCCAATTCCCACAATCAGATTTATATAATGAGAGAAAAGGAACAGCCCCTGGGAAATAGATTTCAAAGGTTTTCGAACAGTCCTATAATCAAACACATGAGAAACCCAACCATCACCCTAACTAGGAGGCAAGCTTTTGAAATAATATATTATTGTGCTGAGTGTTGGTACGTCACTCGGAGCACGGGTAAAAATGTTTGGAGGTTGTGGATTAAAACCTGAGTTTGAATACGAGAGTAGCCAGCTATTGTAAATAATGCTTAAATTTTGCACCATTAGTTGGATATCAAACTGATTAATCTAACACTATTGTACCGAGTGGCAAGCAATGTGGGAAGAGTTGGCAACGGACCAAGATCATCATCCAGGCAGCCGCATTATAACATATAATAGATATAGAATTGAATATAGAAACATAAATAGAGACTACTGCAGCAATCAATTCCATGGCTAAGAGAAAAGGATACTGTCCAACAAAGTGAGCAAACGATGAAGACGAGACGATTGTTGCTGAGCCATAACGCTCTATCTGAATACAGCACAGATGCAACTCTTTGGTTTGCATTCGAACACCTCAATGTTTAAATGCATAGACTGTAGTTATTAGAACCACATCGAACCAGTAGAGGGACCGGGTCAATAATTCCCTGGTTCAACCATAATAAAACATAATAATTAAGTTAAAATAATATGATATTTATAATATACCAGTGAGTGTGTGGCATTGTGTGCCAGTGCATCTGTGTGTGTGTGTGTGTGCTCGCAAGAGAGAGGGGGAGAGAGAGAGAGGAGTGGGACTTACATACAAGTCTTACAGGAAAAGAAAAGAGATCGTGTGGTGTCTTTGTGACTGTGAGAAATAGAAAGTGACTGCGTGAGATTCGAGAGGACTAAGGTGCGAAACCAGACTTCTCTCGCAGTGGGGGCAACATACAATTTATAAATACATTTAAATTCTCTAATATCTACATTGCTTTCGCAAAACAACCAATCAATGATACTTTTAAGTACAATTTCACAAAAAAAATTGTCAATTATGGGTGCAATCCATATAGATTAGGGATGTACAAAAGAGCAAATAAAAAAAAAAATTCAGTACAAAGCTTTTTATTATCCTGTAAGATCCGGAAGATCTCCTAATTTAATTTACACCACAACTTTGCTTAGAATATATCCCCATCACTATCACCATTTTTTTGGGTAGCAGATGGTTGTTCAATGTTTATTTTTTTAAAAGAAATTTATCCATTGTAATTCAACAATTAATTTGCTCATTAGACAGAAAAACATTATTTATAAAAAATGTATTAAATTAAACAAAAATAGATCCAAAATTTTAATAAAAACAATTTAGAAAAATTAATTATATCACAAGTCTATTAAACCAAACTTACATATAGAAACAATTTAATCTAACACAATCAAATTATTCAAGCCCCATAAATCAAAATAATTTAATTCATGGTATAATCCATAATAAGAAACTTCTGAAATAGAAATCCAATTAAATATAACAAATTTTAAGCAATCAAGGTCCATTTTATTCAATATATTAAAATAGCACAGAATGTGCCAACAAATGAATGACCCATTTCGCATAAACTAACTCATGTCCTCCTCACCCTCTCATTACCAAAAATATGGATATAAAACCGATCCTATTGTTACTGCTCAGTTCAAATTCAATAATCAAAGCTCAATCATCAATTATTAGCAAAAAGAATTAAAGGAGTAAGAATAATAAAAACCTAAATTACTGCACCAAAAATTTGTATAATATCAAAGATATCAAAATGTAGTTTATGGGTACCTCTGGTAGGCCAACTTTGATAGAATCTTTTAAACTCTCATTTCCTTTGAAAAAATTCACTCAATCTACAAGACAAATTCCGACTGAAGTCGGGAACAAAAAGAGGAAGACCGAAATGAAGGAAGAGACGACAGAGGGAATGAAGAGAGAAAGAATAGTGAAGAGAAAAATCAGAATGAAATTTGTTTGAAGGAATCAGGAGGACGAAAGAGAAGAAGGTATCCTTCGCTGCCCATGAATCGTTGAGATGAAGAAAGTGGATCTTTCCAGAGGGCTAGATGGAAGAGTAAAGTAAAAGTGTTGTCTGAGGGGGAGGAGAGAGGGCCCATGAATCTCTCTCAGCGTCGCTGTGCTGTGTCTGTGTCTGTGTCTGTGTCTGTGTGTGTGAGAGAGAGAGAGAGAGATAGAGACAGAGGGGGGAGAGAAGACTTACAGAATGAGAAGGGAGAGGGATCAATGTGGCTGAGGACCATGAGAGGACCCACCTGCCTGCTGCCTGCTGCCTGCTGCCTGCTGCCTGCTGCCTGTGCATCTGCTGTATGGAGAAGGAGACTGGAGGGTGGAGAAGACGGTTGATTTAGGGCAAAAATGCCCCAAAATAAGGATTTTTATTTTTTATATAACTTGAAATTTTTGAACCGCCCGGTTTGAAAGACCTTCAGGTTCACCGGTTTTATTGAAAACCGGACGGTTTTGAGATTTTTATGCAATTTTGTTACAGAGGCGGTCCAATTGAAAAAAAACAGGTTTAATATCCGGTTCAAAGATTAAACCGGTTGGTCCGGTCTGATAACACTATAGACAACCACCCACCTTTGTTTTTTTTTTTTAAAAGGCTACAACCACCCACCTAACAAGTATAATTTGCAGATTTTTGTCAATGAGTCTACGCATAAGTTTTTTAACCCCTATTTGTATGTTTTAAACATTTTATATGACAAAAATGCCACTTTATAACAAAAAAAAATATAATTAGAAAAATATGCATCCATTGGAAAAAATTGAACCCCCATCTAGGCTCAAATTCTTACAATTTACAATTCCTCTAAAAATAGGACCTTACAAAATTTTAAACTTGCATATACAATTCATTACCATACCCTAAAAAGCTATCAAATTAGAGTCTTGTTCGAAATTCATAATAGTAAATGAATGAATCCCACAATCATAGACCTAAATAAACTAACCAAACAATAAATTTAGAAGGGGGTTCAAGCATTGGATCACTAAATTAGATTCTGACTCAATCAAAACATGCCTGAAAGACATCTAAGTTCAAGCAAAGACACACACCCATACACATACAAATTCTTTTTATTTATCAACATCAACCACAAATTCAAACAACTAACGTCAATTATATGAAAGAATCCGATGAATTCCATAAAAATAGTTACAAAAAATAAACAAAATGAAATATAAATTCAACCTACTACACCCACGACAACGCATACCAATCATACAACAGTACGATGCTGTGTGTGAGTACGTGAATTTGTGTTTTGGTGTGCATGTATGTGGGTGTATGGAGTTTGTATTTGCGTCCTTTGTGTGCATGTGTGTGATGTGTTGTGTACTATGTGTGTGTGTGTGTTGAAGAGAGAGAGAGAGAGAGAGAAAAGGGGACATAGGTTGTGTTCGGTCACTTGTTCATGGCGTAACTGTACAACCTTTTAATCATTTTTTGCTCAATCCAAAGAAATCTAAATCCAAAAAATGAATAAGCATCAAATGTCAACCCTGCCCCCTTTTCATTGAGGTATATTGGTTTCAGCAATAAAACAAAGGGAGTTAAATATTTCCCTAAAGAAAATATTAATGAACTCGAAAGACATAGCATCCATCAAGCTGATTGATTCTAGATTAAAAAATTTGTGATATCCATAATAAAATGAAATATTCTCAGAAAGAATAAAAGCCCCAACGAATATTTGTCTGCTGGAAAGTTTCTAGGAGCAATCTCCCCTGACACAACATAACTTTCAGGATATTTGTAAACTGATAAATTAAAGCAAAGTAAATATGAGTAATAAAACTGAAGACACACAAGAAATCCCAAAAAAGTAGCCTATATGCAGAGGAAAAGTAACCTAGGTGACTGTAGAGATCTAAACAACAAAATTAACACTCAAATTTTCATACCAAATCTAAAAACCCAAATTTCAAAAATACTCCAAAACCCCCCAATTTGAAAACCTAAATTTCACAAATCGTGTGACTGTGCGTGGATGTGTGTGTGTGCGTGATCTCTCTATGTGTGTGCATGATATCTTTGTGTGTGTGTGCGCGCATGATGTCTGTGTGTGTGGGTGTGTTATTAGAGAGAGAGAGAGAGAGAGATGAGGGGTACCTGGGCGACGGCAGAGAGAGGAAGACATGGCAGAGGCTTGATCTACTCCTTGTATGTGAGAGAGAGAAAGTCGGGAGAGACGTTATGGTTGTCGTCTGGCTTGGGAATGAGATAGCATGCCTGTCTTTGCCTTGGGTTGGGTGTTGGAATGAGCGGGTTTTGGTTTTTGAATGAGATGTATTGTGAGCCTTTGGATTAGAGACTTTGAATTGATTTGAGACTGTCGAATGTTGAAATCGCCCTGTTTTATATTATAGATTATAAGTAAAATTATATTTTGAAAAATACGTGTTTTAAGCTCCAATTAAAAAAGAGGTTCTAAATTTATAGGTCTATAATATAGTTCCTACAAAAAATTTAAATCTTTAAAAATTAAGTCAAAAAAAGCCCAATTAAAATTTTAACCAGAAAAAAAAATAGTTTAATAATGATTTGGACTCAAAAGTCTAGTCCAATAACACACAAAATTAAATTTGACAAAAAAGNGTTCAAACTTCAGAGTCAAAGCACAAGGTGACCTTTGCTTATGGGATTATCACCCTATAGACTTTACTATGTGGCAAAATTAAAAATGTAATGAGTTACAGTACGTCAGTACCCATAATAGTTTGTTTGAAGAAAGATTTTAATTTTATGTGGAAATAGAAATTTTCAATAATTACTGTGATNAAAAATAATAACGTTGAAAAAGTGTAAAAATAATTGTACATTAGACATCACTAGTCATTTTTTCTCACACATTCTTTCTCTAACTATATGTTTGTCCTTTTCTAAAATTAAAACACAAATCAAACTATTTATTTCAATCTCACTCATTCTTTTGTTTTTTTCTAAATAACTAAATACCTAAAACACTAAACTATTGATTCTCTCTCTATANGTTCAAACTTCAGAGTCAAAGCACAAGGTGACCTTTGCTTATGGGATTATCACCCTAAAGACTTTACTATGTG